GGGCACAAATATTCTGGGGCTTTAAAAGCATCAGGACCATAATTGAAGCCCATAGGACCCCATAATATTTGTACCCTTGGGTATGAAAATCATAGGTCTTCTGTGGGCTCCAATGATGTTCCTGATCCCTTTGGGACTCCGTAATATTCGTACGCCCCATAAAAATCACGAATTATTGGAATGACTTCTACCTCTATGTAGTTGTACATGGCGAGGTCGCAGATGGCCTCGGCGTCGGGGTTTCGGTGCTCTGAGAACCTCCGGAGGACGGCGGGGAGGTCCCCGCCGGCGCCGCCCAGGGCGTCCAGCAGGCCCGCCAGCAGGCGCACGTCCTCGAAGCCCTGCAGCAGCCGGTTAGCGAGTGAGTGAGCTGCTGCCTCCGCCGGACGCGGGCGTGTCGCACAACAGGACCCTGGAGCTTACCGCGTTCATGCCCTGCCCGAAGAACGGCACCATGGCGTGGGCCGCGTCCCCCAGCAGCAGCGTGCGGCCCGCGTGGTACGGCCCGCACTAGACACGTGTAAAATTAGCGCGGCACACGTGCGGGCGCACGGGGCGCGGCGGGAGACAGGAATAAAATACAAAAAGTCACGAGGACAAAGGACTGGGGGCGGTACAGAAACCACGTGGACAACGGGCAGAGGGGGTCCAAATATTATGGGGTCCCAGAGAAGGATCAGGACAATTATTGGAGACTAAGGGCACCCATGATATTTGAAATTCGCGGTAAAAAATATCATGGGGTCTTGAACTTCAATGACAGTTCTGGTCCCTTTTGGACCCCATAATATTTGGTGCCCCCCTCGCCATTGTACACGTGGTTTCCCAATGCCCCCTTAGGGAGCATCCTGAAGTGAACGCATACCTTGATGGACACGAGGGGCTGCGGCTTGGAGCGGAAAAAGTCCCGGACGAGGGCCTCCTCGCCGAGCAGGGGGACCGCGTCGGCGAAGTGCTTGCCGAAGAAGGTCAGCAGCTCGCGGTCCGTCGTGACGGCCTCGAACTGCGCGAACGGCATGAAGAGCGTCACCGTCCACGAGCGGTCCTGGTTCGGCAGCGCGATCATCATGAACTCCCCTCGCGGCCAGATGTGCAGGAAGTTGGGCGGCATGGCGAACTGGGGAGGAGAGAGAGAGAGAGAGATAACCGCAGTCAGGTCGCGCAGCCGCAGCCCGCCCGCCGGGTAGGCAACCCATCGTGAGCCGGAGTTCGGCGGGTGGCTGAGCCAGCGCCCCGCAGGCGGCAAGTTAAACTGCCCTCTGACCGGGCGAGCAGGGCCCTGTTTGCAGCTATTTACACAGAGTTGTACAACCGACACGGCCACGGGCAACTTAATCAGAATCGACTGTAGAAATGTGTCTGATCGGCGTCGTAAATGCTCACGCACATCTACCCCCACCCGGACAAAAATGAAAAAACAAAAATGGGGGTGTACTTTCCTCATCCCACCGCAGTCTTGGCGATCAGCCGCTTCCAACCGCAGTGATCCGAAGATACTCCAGGGGTCTGTGAGACGGTTGACTCGTACGTTGGTTAAACTGTACTGACCCATGCTACGCTGTCGATAACAGCTAAAAAAAATTAGTTTCTGAAGTCGTCCTGGTACTCCCCCATTTCCTTTTTGTCCAGGAGGGGTCGGTCGGGGGGG